CCACAAATACCCCAATTTCATTTTTCCATAATCGCGACTGACGGTGTGACCTAGTAGTTAGTGTGTTCCTGGTATCAATCGGAGAGTTTGTGGTTTGCAGCCGGTTCTGCAGGAACGTGCACAGCACTATGGATTGTTTGTTTGTAATTAAGCAGAAAGCTACACAACGGACTATCCGTGCTCTGCCCACCACGTGTATCGAAACCAGGATTCTAGCGTTGTAAGTCCGCAGACATACCGCTGTGCCACTGGGGGGCCCGCACTACGGAGCCGTTAGTGCACTATAAAAGTGGTGGTTAAACCTACAATTCGGTGGGTTTGCGAGTGTTGTTAGTGGGTGCTGTTGATTAGCTGTTCCTTTCCTCTATCACTTCAAAATTAGGGACGGCTATACGCAAATAGTCGTTTGTGAAGTTTTGCGCGATAATTCTAAAACGAAGAAATTCTCAGTCTTCGTCGAATTTTAATGTGCTATTTTGTCTATACTTTAGATGTTAATCCATTCAATATCTTCTTAGAATTCTATGTCCACGAACAGTAGACATAGTTTCGGAAGAATGCATATATATATTTCCTGAATATGTATTTGTATCGTTTGTTTTGTTTTTTTTATTTCGCGCAAAGCTACACGAGAGCTATCTGCGCTAGCCGTCCCTAATTTAGCAGTATAAGACTTGAGGAAAGGAAGCTAGTCATCACCACCCACCGCCAACTCTTGGGCTTCTCTTTTACCAACGAATAGTGGTATTGACCGTAACTTTATAATGCCCCCGCGGCTGAAAGGGCGAGCATGTTTGGTGGAACGGGGATTCGAACCCGCAGATTGAGAGTCGAGCTCCCTAACCAACCGGACCTATATATTTCAGCGTTTCTATATACAAGTTTTTGTTGACGATCGGTGATTTTTGAAGGCCAAATTTTTAAACAAAAAAAGTTGCTCTGTTGGTTTGTGTGTCCCAGATTAACAAAGATGGGTATCAGAATTGATAATTTATAAACTGACGTTTTGTAAGTTTTTGTCACAAGATAACGTGCATCCCAGTTAAAGTCTCTTACTGCGTATGTTGTTGCTAAGTCAAAACGCACTGTTTAGAGATGGGAATATTGTTGGAGAAGTAAACATTATTTAAATATAGATTATTGCATGTTGTAGGTGAAATGAGACGGCAGTTTGGAAATGAATGTAATAATTAAATTACAACAGATCGTGATAATTAAACATCCACCAAGTCACCATACTTTGCTAAAATTCAAAAACGTTTCGGAAAAATCCTCGTCGATAGAAAAAAATGGTTCCGTCGTTTTGTAGTGTTGGCAAAACGGTCTGGAGTGGTGTGTGTGTGAAACACATTACAAAAGTAAATATCAAACGAACAATAACTCTTGAACATTTTATTACCATACCATACCATAAAGAAGTCGTGATGTTGAAATATTATATTTTGATAAAAGGTTCTGGTGTTAGTTGATAGTTACAAAATAAAAAATTCAAAATGTTGAGAAATGGAACGTTGTGGACTCGGATAAATTATATTTTAAGGTATCAAAATAGCTAAAAAAAACAAGCTCTATTTTCAACTCGAATAAAACTAAATATCAATTAAACGCATTGAAAATAGTGTAATAAAATTATTGTACAAACTTTACAGAATTTGATAAAATATATTTTGAGGAAATTACCCTATTGTGAAGGTCCTCTGGAGGGCACACTTTTAACTAACGACCATATTGTGAAACTGATTGCTCCAACTGTAGAACACGTATTTAACTACAAGAATTAGACTCTCAACACTCTTATTTTCAGTATCAAAATCAAGAAATCCTATTTCAAATGCTGCTACCACAAGAATACTTTCACAAGCTTATTTTGTACTTTAATTTTGTTAGTGTGTGTGTGTGTTTCTTTCTTCCATGCTGGGCTTTCAAGTGAATAAAAAATAATAATAAACTAATAAAATGATTATTTGTTTCTTTGAAGTAAAGGATATGGTTCCCCCGACTTGATTATTCCTGTACTGTTTACCACTACTCCTTATCCTGCTTGTGGTAGAATTGCATACACTGTAGGATCATTGTTAACTCACAACAAAGAACCTGAATCACAACAGCAGTAAAACTAAATTTTGCATTGGTCGTTAGAATGCAATGCTTGACTTTAGGTCTTTCTCGTGAAGTTTATCTCCAATGCAGATTACAAACACCATGGATACAGACGACACAAATGACAACCTTGGAAACAAATTCTCAATTGAAATTCGTTTGCAGCTTTCACATTTGAAGAACGGGTGATGAGGTCCGAATATTGTAAGGTTTAAATTATACAAGCCAGAACGTTCGTTTAAGATAGTAGGGAAAATTAATAACAAATAAATTACGATATATTCAAAACCAAACATAATCAAAAGTGGTATTTTATTTTAATACAGCTGATGCAAAAGACATAAAAGATTTCTTAAATTAATCATATCTCACGTAATAGCATATGAACTTTTAAGTACAGAAACTATGAACACACATACTACGTCTCTTCTGAGACTTGTTTTCACTAACATTTTTTCATACAAAGCAAGAAACTATGCAACATTCAATGCTATGATATACTGTGTTTCAGCTACTTTGCTCCTGTGCACAATTGCACTTAGATATATGAATTAGCATGGAATCTTACAAAGATGTTGCATACACAGAAGCAAATGGGACGGGACATTACCGAAGCTCAACACAGCAGAACCTTTTTATGTCTATACACCAGTGCTGGTGTAAATAGTAAAGTGAAAAGTTTGAGACTGGGTATTTTCTATGTTAAGAATAAAATGAAATTCCATATGACACTATAAAAAACATCACTAGACATTCTACATGTATATATTTACATGTGTAGCCTTACACTCTCCATGGGTTTAGTTTACAACAAAAGGAAAACTGTAATTTTGAACCTTTCTCTAACAACAGCAAAACAAAAAATGAATTTTAAAAAGTTACTTGAACTGCTACGTTCTAATAATGATAAATAAACAAGACGAAGTTAAAATTACAGTTTTACTTCTTATACAAAAGAATTGTCTGTTTATATTTAAATACTTCTTTAAGGAATCTTTGTTAATTTAATCCCGAAACTTAATACTTTCACATACTGAAATTGCACAAGTTTCCCATTACCAGAAAGCTATATATATTTGATTCTGTCATGGACGTTAATTTATATATTTGACTCTGTCATGGACGTTAATTTATATATTTTACTCTGTCATGGACGTTAATTTTAGCAAACTTTCCAAAATGTGTGCACATCTTCCCTAAGGAGAAACATTATGGCAACAAAATGACTTCTCTCTCTTGTGAAAATAAAGTTTAAACTTCTTGACCAATGACTATCATTAAAGTTGATTTTACAGCAGAGTTAACATTATGCTTTTTTTTTCACTCTTGTCATCTTTACTAATAAATTACTTTTAAGATGTACAAGAAATCATTCTGACAGAATTTGAAAAGGTACTTTCTTTATCTCAGGTTGCCTTCATCCCTATACCATGAATAATAAAATAAAATATGCATCCTCAGAACCCAGGCCATAAGTTCTACTACATTTTGCTTGAATGAGAAACACTAGGGCATTTCAAAGCTAAAAAAACTGGAACATTATTAGTTCAGTGCTAAATTGTTAGGTTTGTCCAAAAGTCATTTATTCCCAATATTTTACTAGGAGGGTACTAACAGGGGCTTGGGTAACTTAACTTTCCATGCAGTTGTTTTGTAAACATTTAACATAGGTGTGACAATACAAAAAAAAAAGATGACAACATAGACATACTGCTACAGCTTGCATGTCTTATCTTTGTTTCAATTTCAATTTATACAAACCTAAAAAACAAACAAAAACCGTTATTATAAAAATACTGCCTGAATCTTAAGGTGTCAACCTCTGAGAGAAAGAAAAGGATTAAAAAACTCATAGAAACACATCATTCACACTCACCAAGCTTTGAACAGTGTAATACATGAAACACTTAACTGGGGACTATCTAAAAAATCAAATGTAAAACTTTACTATTTGTATAGACAGCTTTTGGAATGAAAGATCACCAAGCAAAATACTTGTTTTTAAAACAACTTCTTGCACACACACACACACGAACAGTGGTTTGTCTAATAACAAAAAAAATTCCTGACATATTCTGAGAGCAATACACAGACAAAAACCTTCTTTTCCTAAACTTGCTTTGCTATAAACATTTCACTGGAAGTTTTATGCAATAACCACCAGAGAGGGACTGCATATCTGAGGTAACGTTTAATATTTTCTTAAACTGTTAGTTTGATTTGGTATCACTTTAATTACTTTAGGTTGTAATACAATCATTAGAGAAGTATCTCAGAAACTATAAAAAAAAACAACCGAATTTCACTAGCATCATAAAAAAAGTAAAAGAGAAGGGTATTTTATATGTATACGAGGGTTTGACATTACTTGAATGTGACCTTTGTCAAAAATATCATAGCTCAACCATGATGTACAAATTATACACAATGAATTAAAAATCAATATCTTCAGTTCAGCTGATAAAACATTTTCTAATGTTTTAATTTCAAATCGCAGATCATACACTTAATACAGTGAAAAAATAAATTCACAATCTGATGTCTATTTGACCATTTTACACTATTTTCACTTTGAATATCATAGTCTAGTTTTAAAGTAAATAAAAACACTTGGATAAAGAAGAAAATTACAGCTTTACTAATGTGATGTTTCTTCTTTCCATACATACAGAATTATGATTTCACTTAATACCTCCATATGTGAAAAAAAACTTTTCAAAAACTAGCTCACAGAACTGTAGAAAATCAGTTTGACCGAAACAAGGATGAAATTTATCAATCTATAAAAACACTATAGGTGGTGCTTATCACAACATATCAAACCTTAGATTTGGTTACATCCAGCATCCAATTACTTCAAACTCACATGTTACATTATTAGGATAATACTGTACAGAACATAAAAAAAAAAAAACTTTCTCTAACATATTATACAGTAGTTATAAGCTGTCAGCCATTAATGGCAGTGAAACTTTCAAAGTCACAGATACATGCATTACATAATCATCTCAATCAATCAAGACATGGAAATAAATAACGTTAACTATACACAGTATTAACTATAAATATTACTTTCTGGAGAAGAAGAACTCTATGTTGTATGGTCAGTCCAGCTGATCAAGCTTAAGCTTTGCAACATCTTTAGTTACAAGTATTAAGGAATTATCATTACAGCACAATAACATGCCAAGACAAGACGTTTAACTACATATTGGCAAAAAAATTATTTCCACAGAGATTTAGAAGAAAAATGATAAAGATGAGACAGTGCACCTGCATGAACAGTAATATTTCTTGATCATTACTAAAGATTTTTTTCGTATTGTAACTTTAAGTAATATTCCTTTCAAAATACAGTTTAATCACCTGTTCCACCAGGAATTGCACATAAGCAGATATACATATACATAGAACACATTAGGCAAAGGAAGGGGTGAATAATGCTTTACCAAAAGCTTCCTGGTTGGAGTTTTTAATCGAGTTCTAGATTCACAGAGCATGACCAGATGGGCACACTAAGCCAACACAAATGTCAACTTGGTGGGGGTCAGCTGTCACCATGCACATTCTACCTGCTGCTACTGGAAAGCTGTTGTGGTACTGCAACCCTCAAGACATGAGCCCCTGTGTCGTGGTTTAGGAATCTATCAACTTTGCAGCCCTAAGAAAAAAACTACATATAACTTCTATAAATTGTAACACATTTACAAAAAGAGATTAATACACACACTTTACAAACAAATTTGATAATTCTTATGCCTGCACTTCAACCACTATACTACAAAAGTTATCTAATTTCCAATCCTTTATTTTGACTGAAGCAAATACTATAAACTGTAAACCTGATTAAGCCCTTTCTGTATTGAAATTATTTATTTTTCCAACTTGCTTTTATGGATAATTCTAGTTACAAGCCTGGTTAACATAATATTGTACTAGTGATCCAAGCAAAAAGTTAGTATTCTTAAATTGAACAAAATGGTGAGAACTTTCTTAATGCACATGTACATGACAAATGTCTAAAGCTACCAAGCTGCTTGAAACATTCTTTAAAGTATCCTACACAAATCTAGCATTTCATTTTTACTGTGGAACTTTTGGCCATAGGCCCTCCCCCTTAAAAAAACAAACTTAAGATTATTTTCATTTTTTCGTAGTTTAATACGAATGATGCCACATGGATAACCTGTTGAATTCATTTCAGTGTTGTTGATTCTCTAGTTTCATTAGCCTAACAGTCTATCTTAAATCTTTTGAGTCTATGGCCAAAATGGTTGTACAATAAAAAGAATATATATATATATATATATATTTGGTTTTTTTTTTGGGGTGTAAAAATCATTTAATGTCATTTTTTAATAAATTATTATGACTTTTACTCTTACAACAGCACTATTATCTTTAAATTACACTAATTCATCCTAATTCAGCTTTCATTTAAAGAGTTACTATAGCAAATGTGAATTTACATTTAAGTTGAACATGTAAATATTTTGTAAATAAGTATTATTTGGGAAGCTACTTTGTGAATATGAAAACACAAAATAAAAAGTTTTCATTATGTAAAATCTCATGGTTGTAAGGGAAACAGTAAAGGTACACTATATTTATTAGCAAGTTATCTATGTATAAATAGCTTACTTTGATCAGAAGTTGTAATAGTATTTTTTTTTAAATCTAGTTTTGACATTTGGACCAGCTGCTGAAATTGATCCTGAATTCTAAATGTTTGGTTTAACAAATATTTAGAAAGGAAAAGACAAAGTAAATACTAAAAAAATAAAACAACCTAAATTACACAATCAATCCCTGTTGCCATAAGAGCAGTCAAATACAGCTTCATTTCTCTGACAAAACATTTACTAACTACTGGAAACTTTTGAGTGAGAATTTTTTACAAAATCCTTACTTGACAGAATGGTAATTATTGAACCTGCTAATTTCACAAACTTGGGGTCAAAATCTGTCCCAAAGTTTAATATGTTTTTAATTCTGAGAAGGAATAACTGACCACAATTAAGTTTTTCATTTACTAATTTTCCAGTATCCACCTATCTTACACATACAATTGATTACTGTTAAACAGTTTATCACATTTTGAGATGGATTTAGATTTTCTAGTGTTTACATGTATTTACTCCATTATCACTAAGCAGAGAACTACTTAGTATGTAGGAATGGGCCAGGAAAAAATGGCCAATGAATATTATGTATTGCTCATCATAATCTCTAATAACAATCTAAGAGACTTTTATAAACAATTAACTTAGGTTTTCAAAGGCTATTAAGACATTCAATTTAGCCAAAAAACATAGATGAGAAACTTAACAGCCAAATATTCTGCTGATTATTCTGATCCTGGCGTCAGAAGGGTTACACACCAAAATCGTTGCATTTTAACCTGGGGCACCGAAGCAGTATAGCATTTCACTAACTTCAACACATGGTGTTTATGAAGAACTCTTCATGCCAAGCTAAAACTGATGCATTCATAGCGACTGCCATTCATTATAAGATTTTCATTAGTACTGTTTAAAAAAAGAAGGGAAACAAGTAATAAAAATATTTTTGAAAAAAATTAAGTATTCAACACATGGTGTTTATGAAGACAACTCTTCATGCCAAGCTAAAACTGATGCCTTCATAGCGACTGACATTCATTATAGGATTTTCATTAGTACTGTTTAAAAAAAGAAGGGAAACAAGTAATAAAAATATTTTTGAAAAAAATTAAGTATGATGTAGGGACGACAATGCCAAAAAGTACATGAACAAGGTTGGGACGAATACACAAAACCCTACATAATTAGTCACCGAGTCAATGTTATAAGCTTATGTGAATTAGCCATTGTAAGACTTTATAGCATTATTCAGTTTAAATGCTTTTATTCCAACCTGAATTCATGCAAGTTAAAAGAAATTCAACATTTAGCTGTAGATAAAAGTTTTTCTTGGAAAGATTGGGCTATTTATATAGTGTCATGTGCCGAATCAAGTGATATGTCCACTTCCATCCCTATCTTGTTTGGTTTCTTTTTTCCAGGTAGAATACTCAATACTTTGTACACTATACAATCAATGTTTTTAAAACCATAGTTGAATACCTATTTTATTATTATTATTCTATGCAAAATTGATAAAGCTTTAGAATACATTCTATAACCTAGTAATACAAGTTTGCCACATTATAAGTAAACAAACAAGTATTAGGAAAAACAGATAGAACCAGAATTTCCAATAGTAAAATATTACTCTATTGTAATATAGTCAGAAAAGTAGTGTTCTAAAGCTAACTAAAGGAAACGTATAATGATGAAAGCTGAGATTATATTCAAATACCAAGCTTTTGACTGACAAAGTGGGAAAGCCAGTAATGTAAAGTTGAGATGGCTTAGTCTACTATGTGCTGGATCAAGTGATATGTCCACTTCCATCCCTATCTTGTTTGGTTTCTTTTTTCCAGGTTCAGTAGCCAGCCCTACATAACTTTTTTATTTAGCAATGATTTTTTTCTAACACATGTTTAATTGCACACTGACAGGGTAATCCAGTTAACAAGAACCTATTTCTCACAGTTTCTTACCTGACCTTGCAATCAATTACCATTGGTGTTTCTTGTAACAAGATTGATTCTATTATTGGCATCAGTGCCGTAGATCTTCCCTGCCTTTTTAGCCATATTTCCCAGCAGTTCCAGAGAATTCTTGTGAGTAGACTTTAAGGAAATGAGCCATTCTTTGAGTCCTATCTCATCCTATATCAAAGTATAGGTACAATTTCACTTATGGTCATAAGCATGTCAAATGAAGTACATTAAACACTTAACTATGTAAGGTAAGGTTGGTGAGGTTTCAAAAGAAATTGCTCACGATCCTAAAATTTGAAAACTTTGTAATCAAACCAAATTGTTACTCCTTACGGTATGTTAACAATAAACCAAATTGTTACTCCTTACGTTATGTTAACAATAAACCAAATTGTTACTCCTTACGTTATGTTAACAATAAACCAAATTGTTACTCCTTACGTTGTTAACAATAAACCAAATTGTTACTCCTTACGTTGTTAACAATAAACCAAATTGTTACTCCTTACATTATGTTAACAATAAACCACACTGTTACTCCTTACATTATGTTAACAATAAACCACACTGTTACTCTTTGCAGTATGTTAACAATAAACCGAATTGTTACTCTTTGCAGTATGTTAACAATGAACCAAATTGTTACTCTTTGCAGTATGTTAACAATGAACCAAATTGTTACTCTTTGCAGTATGTTAACAATGAACCAAATTGTTACTCTTTTCAGTATGTTAGCAATGAATCAAATTGTTACTCCTTGTAGGATGTTAACAATGAACCACACTGTTACTCTTTGCAGTATGTTAACAATGAACCAAATTGTTACTCTTTGCAATATGTTAACAATGAACCAAATTATTACTCTTTGCAGTATGTTAACAATAAGCCACACTGTTACTCTTTGCAGTATGTTAACAATGAACCACACTGTTACTCTTTGCAGTATGTTAACAATGAACCACACTGTTATTCCTTATAGTATGTTAACAATATAGAAAACTTGCTGGGCACTTATGGTGATTGGATATCAACAGTTGCCATGGTTCATAGCCTATACAATCACCTAATTGCTAGGCAGTTGCTGGTGTTTTTATTTCTACTAGAAACTGGTTAATCCGCAGCTTACATTTCTACTGCTAATCTGAACAGTATGTGGTAGCAGAAGCCATGGTTCAATCATGGGTCTTCTTGTTAGAAAGAAAAGTGTGCTACCTGCTCCACTAGGCTGTTACTCCATTGCACACTGAATCAACTATGTGAATAGTTTCAAGAGAGGTGTCATAGTTTTGTTGACTTATGTACTAATTTGGCTGAGTATATTATAATTCTGTTGAATTTAGAAAACTTTTTTGATGTTTATTCTATTTGACTTGTTCCATTTCACTATATGATCTACTTTTCTGATATGATGGGTTATTGCAGACAGTTTGGTATTACAGATATATATATATATTGTACTCATATATTCTGACTTTTTTGTTTCTTCAATGTATTAGTCTCCATATTCATAGGTATTCCCTTATGTCAAAAATATATTTGAAAAAAATACAAAGAATAAAACAAAGTCATGACAGTTCATAAGTCCCAACTTATACACACACTTAGTGCACACCAAACTACCCAAGTAGCAAAAACACCATATACAACATGCCCCCATGAAGGACATACTGATCTACCTGTAACAGCCCATTATGTCAGGGAAGATGATTACACAATAAAACGGAATACACACACACACAAGAAACAAATAAAGTCTTCTACAATCAACTAACTGTTAAAACACTCAGGCAGCCTAGTACAAAGTCATCAAGGCCTGGTTCTCTCTCTTTGAGCCATTTAAATAGTTGATTAAGTCAATGAAGTGAGAATCCAATTGAGTGGATAGCACATGTGCACTTCTAACAAGAAGACCCGGGAGAACTGTACTGAAGGTGGGAGCAAATTAGTAGCTAAGAGTAGAATTTAAACTGACATGTAATTAGCACCTAATAACAACCATAATAAAAAATAGTAACTAATCAATATAAAGATTTCGTGAACATACTGTCTAATAAACATCACAAAGACAAACTTACTGGATTGGTTAATACTATCCTTGCATCTCGTTCTCCTTTCATCTTCAAGATGATGCATTGCTCCCCTTTCACATTGACATACTCTGAACAAACATCCTCCAGTTGGTCCATAAAGATTAGCTAAACATCAAGTAAGATAATGAATATAAAACATCTCGATAAAAGGAAAAACGTTTCAATTATTTTCAACTTAACCAAAACTTACTTTTCTTTTTAGATAAATATAAGAAAACTGTTTATGAAGTACAGTATTCAAACTGAGAATCTACTATATAAAGCAAAGTGTGTATCTGGTAAAAAAAATACACGGTCATATATCTATCATTTCATCTCTCTTCCTTTTATGTTTCCACATTTCATAATCGATCACCACTAAACTTGACGCAGTGATATAGGATGACGTGAGGAAAGTCATGAAGGGGTGGGGGTTGGACTCCCCATCTAATTTCATATTGATAAAATCCTTGAAAACAGTTTTTTTTTAATATTGCTGTCTTTACATATTTTATTGTACTTTTAATGTTTATTATGTTGAGAAAATAAATAGAAGCACAATTTCATATCCTTTGTTACAAACAAGTTTTTATTTCGACCGTCCAACACAGTTACTGCAACTAGTGTTCTATAAAAAAAAGGACAAAATTATTTTTGTTTCTTTAAAACCTGTTCACCACTAGTGAGGTCCACACATTGTATCATATCCAGCAATTTTGTTATCAACTGTTAACGGAAATAACACACCAAAGAAATTGACTGAATTCACTCATTTCCTATGGATAATATAAAGTAACTAGTGCGATTAATTGCAGTATTGATGGTAATGTTTGTTTCCATGTGACTCTTATGTTGTTAGGGAACTGGTAACCAAATGAGTTATGCACCCACAAGAACGGTTCTTAAAATGTTTAGAATAACATGTTCGCTAAACTGATGTGGTCCATGTGGACCCCACCAAGAAACTTTAAGCTCAGCATTTTCCATCACAGAAATCTAGGCAATATCTTTGAAGAAATTTTTAGAAGTCAAATTATTATTTCCTTTTTATTTTACCAAGATCTAAAGAGCTACACTGCCATAAACAAGAACTGTTTACTCTATAAATCCATTAAAAATGCTATACCTCTGGTTTAGCACTTCCAGATTCTGTGTGGAGCTCCATCCTGTTAGGATAGAGCTTCCCATATCGGGTCTGCCATGCTGAAGCAAAGGGTCCACCAAGTTTTTTGATGTAACCATGAATAATGCAGTCTGAATCTATGAAGAAAAATAAGATTTATATATTCTTTTTATAGCATATAATGCCTGGGTTTGCAAAGCATGATCTGTTGATATGTTTTGTGTGACATTAGCTGACAATTTTAATCACTACTACTTTATAGGCTTATTGTATGTCTGTAATAAGCAGCACACACACACATATGCATATTAGAATTTGAACTACATACTTTGGTAAACATTCATGATGAAAACAAGATTTATTTATGCTTATTCAGCTATATCAGTAGCACTAACATAAGAGACAAAAACATAATTATGTCTATAAAACACATTATCCTTCACCCAGCTGATTTCTTAGCTACTAGATAACACACACTCTTAACTAGCAACGAGATAATCATCAACTAGGAAACAAAATTGATTTACCAGTACTCAAAACATTCTGTATGAGGAGGAGGGAGGCAAGTAAAATGTGGTAATCAGATACTTTTACATTAATCATTTTTAACTGTGTTGAATATGCAAATTAGGGAAACACAGATTCATCAGAGTTGTGGAGTGGTTAGCCAAACTTCAAGATCATCAACAAGACAAATTTTCAGATAATGTAGTATAAACGATTGATTAGGTAATACCAGAGAAACATAAGCAGTGTTTATGTCTTTACTCATTTAACACTGCCCTCCCCTCCCAAATAAGAATGACAAATGGTTCCATCTAGTTTTCAAAAAGGCATATACACAAAACTATATGACAAGCTGGACTACACCAGGTAAAGAATAAAACAATAAAATTTAGCAGTAATGTATATTGCAATGCTTTATAAATGAAATACTACAACCTTTATACAGATGTAAAAGTCCTTACTGTTTTTTTCAGCTAAAATCACACTCTTACCCTAACTCCATCTTTTTATTTTAGCCTTATGGATGCTATAATTCAATTATTTGACTTGGTGCGACAAGCAGATTTACTCCGTGTCTCAAAAACTTTTCCTCATAGTATAACAATTGGGATACTCACATGTGCGTACATCATCAAGCAAAAGTGCAACTAGTGGATTCAGATGTTGAAAGAGTACTAAAAAAAGGCCAAATTCCATATTTCAATTGTTAATGGATAATTAACACTTTTTGAGAACCTACCCAAAATTTAATTATGCACTCAAAAGGGTTAACGAACAAGTGAGTATACATTTGTCCACTTTGTAAGAAACATTAATCAAACCCTTGTTTAACAACTCAAAGAAAAGTTTGGAAGGAATATACAAGTATAATAATAAACATTCAACAACACCTTTTTCATCATCAAATTTCATCTTCATCTTAGCTCGCTTTTTATGCTCTGCTTTGTCAGACTCTATGTTGACAGTATCAAAAACGGTTTCTGAAATTTCTTGTTGCCACCTTTCAGAGATCACCACAGGAAAGTTCTTGTATAACTCTTGATCTGCTTCAGTGAGCTACAACAACAGTATTTAAGGTTTCTTAAAGGAGACACCTACCACATACAGGATTCACTGTTTAATAATGATTCTTAAGAGAGACACCCACTACATACCAGATTCTCTATTTAATAATGTTGCTTAAGAAAAGTACATATCACAGACTGTATTTACTGTTCAATAATGTTTCTTAAGATAGATACTAACTACCCAATGGATTTAGGTTTAATAATGTTTCTTATGAGATATACTCACCATAGATTTGGACACTGTGGTAATATGATGAATATAATAGGTAATATGATGCCAATGAAAATTTTTTTGCATTTTTGGGAGGGTATGCAACAGCTCTTTCTGATGCAAAATACTCATACACTCATATCATAAAAATGTGTTAAGAATGGTGATTTGGAATTTGTACTTTAATGAATGTTTAATGGCACTGCAAAACAAGAGAATATGGATCAAAAATGTGGGACTAGAACACTCCAGAAAGAGACCTGCAACAAGATGATCCCCAGTCATGGTAAACAAAGTGAAGTATCTTGTAATAGGTAAAAATCCATGAACACAAAAGTCAGTTGCAAAAGCCATTTCCATGTCCCAGATAAGTATAGACAACATAATCAAGAATGATCTCTGCATAGAAAAGCAACACAAGTCACAATTCAAAAGGTTCTTACATATACATTTAACCATCACTAGAGAATGAAATGGACAATTGTACTTTTCCAAATGAAGACGTACTAGTCAAGTCACCAGATGGCAGTGCCTTTGGATTTCTATCTGATCAGATTGTTGAAAGTGGCATTCGGAAACCATTATACTCGTACACTAAATGGGTTATGGAAAGGTACTCGGGGAGCAGTGTGTTCTTTGGACATGATAGCCTTGTAATGGAGCCTTTTCTTATGGAAACTATGCTATTTGGCTATTCTGAAAATGCAAGGTTGTCAGACAGAGTATGACCAGGTGTGGTGATACAGATTGTATTGACATGGAGAAGCTAAAAAAATCATTTTAATACTATGGACATAGGCTCATGTATTACACAACCTCATAACCACCACCAAACCATGAATGTATCTTCACAAAATTTGTGATTTAAATATCTTACAAAATAAAATTCTCAGCCTTCCAACTGAATGAAAATGTACTACATATACATATAAGACAAAAAGTAGCTTCAATCATGAGAGTGTCACTCTAAAAACTTAAGAGTGAAAACAAAGAAGAATATTTAATAATACACCAACCACACTATGTATGCCACATCCAGTGCCAACAAGGCATTTTGCCCAATACCAGGTTCATCAGACTGGAATGAGATATGACAGACATAGTAGTGATTTAAGCTCTATTTATATTATTTGTATAAAACTTGTGCTTTTCCTATAAATAAAACCAGAAAAGATATCCAACAATTCTTCTGTATTTTTTAGAATTATACTTTGATTGTGAAAAATAAATTTGTGTCACTCGAAACTAAATGTTAATAGTCATTCTGGGAGATAACAGTAAAATACCAACTTTAATGCCTCTTGTGTCTTCTTCATCAAATGAACCAATATCAAAAGCATCTGCAGCATTTACTTCACCCCTTGGGGGGATGAGTGATGGGGAGTATTTCTGAAGATAAACTAACTGCCAGTCAATTCCTTGAAAGAATGGATGGTCTTTCACTTCATCTGCTCTAAAAGAACAAAGATAATATAACCTGTAATGCAATCCTGTAGACTGCTCTCAAAATATTTTTTAAGCATTTAAGATACTTTTCATACTGTAAAGCTTCAGATAAACGGCAGCTTCTTACTTCTCAAAGGATTACGTAAATAATTAGTTTGAAAGTAAAATACACAAACATATAATAAATGTAAAATTTTTTAAAGAAAAAAAAACAAGTTTCAGAAACTTTACAAAAGTTACACAGAACATTACACTGCTTTTAAATTTTGTGATACATCTTTAACCATGGAGGCTACTGAAACAAAGCACATCATGATGATGTTGGTGAGCCCATTATCCATACTAAGAAATATTTTCATCATAAAAAATAGGAGTGATGTATTTATACCACATGCATAATTTTTTGTTCCACTTAGCCAAGAAATAAATATAAATTTGCATATCTACATTTTAGCAAAATTCATTAAAAGCTAAAGGAATCACTCTATGAAACTAAAAGTTGGACCTGTGCCGTGTTAAAATTAGAAAATGTGATACATATTACTTATTTATTAATATTTACATCCAAAAATTAAACATTTAAAGAAAACGAAAATTAAGTTGGATGATATAAATCATTTCTAACTGGGACCAACCTCGTAATCATTTAGTGCTTGTTATAGTTTTCATTCTATAACTTTTAAATTAGTGAGCAAATGTTCATGAAATTGGGCAGATTATCAGTAAACATTACAAGGCTTTCACATGCAAAATATCAGATTTTTTTTATTAAGTTTTAAGGTTTGTTAAACAGTGCTTTTCTCATGCCTATATTCTTTTTGCATGTTGCCTATCCAACATGAAAAGTAATTTTCATTTTAAGATTAAAAATATTTTTATGTACCAGAAAATTTGAAATTTCAAATGCGAAATCATTATAATGTCCAGATAGTTATAAAACATTTCTTAAGAAAAAACTATATTTTATCTGTTATTTTCACTAAAGAATCTCTGTATGGGTTTGACCGATTTGACCAATCACATAGCCACCATAAAAAATTAGGAAATAAATATAAAGTATGCCTTTTTCATTCTACAATGACTATAAATCATAACACGAAAACAGAACTGTATAAACTACACAGCTTAAACCTCATAACATCATACATTTATATATATTTATTATTTTTATTATATTGACCTTTCAGCCATGCTTGGCTAACAATACAGAGGTTACAATGACGCAACACTTGTGCACTTATGTTACTGTATCCAATAATATAAAACTGACCTTTAGTCTTTACAAAGTGACCTATCTTTGCTGTGTTTTAGTGGACTAGTATTTTGTAAAATACAGTCACATTCCAATTATTATACATTATATATGTATATACATTATTACTATTTACAAATAAGTTCTTAAACTTATTTTTCTTAAAACAAAGAACAGTAAATAAAAAATAAAGCAAACAATTATCTCTTAATTTGCTGCTTGTCATAGGTTGCCGAGCCATATAATATTTTGCAGGTAGAGGATGGGAAATGAAATAAATTTTTTTTAGGTTTTATATATACGTTTGAAATAACCAAAAAATCATAAATGACTAATCTGATACCACAGAATTCCACTATAATTTATCAAGCTCAGTAATTAAGTTGTATTTGGGTCTAAAATATATGAAATTTCGAGCAGACTAAAGCCTCACCATACCAGTTTGAAGATTTATATTGAAAGAACAAGGTGACATCGTAATACTAGAAAAATGGCTGAGAAATCCACTATGGGGACATTTTATTGTTTATTCACATGTCATAGGCAGAAGTAAGTGTATATAAGGGAGCATTTCCAAAAATGGAAAGAGATGAGCGGGGCCATTGTGTTTGATTCAGTACATGAGTGATATTTCAGTAAATAGAAAAGATAGGAGGTTCTAATTCTATATTATAGCTTGTTAATATCAGTAATTTGTGTTCCTAATTCGTACAAAACCACAGACTTTGTATTTTAACATCACAAACATCTAATTTGAACCAGTGATGCATTCAACATACCACATAACACACAAAAATTGATGTTTAGGTATGTTTTTTTAATATTTACTTTTAAATTAAGAAATTAAATAATCTATAATACTAAAATTTGAATTATAATCTACAGTTTGATACCAAACTTATTGACATTAATTCATAAAATAGTAGTTCAATAAAAGTTTGAATGTGAGTCAACAAACGTGATGACGTGGTCTTTGACGCATGTGGAAAGGGTTAAGATAATATTAATTGTGATAGAAAGTTTCAGCTAAGAACCAGGTATTTTTCTGTTGATATATGATGGATTAACATTCAAATTACTGACTTTTTACACTGATCATCACCAGCTGGATCCACCTATTGAATAAGTTTATGTTTTGGCTTTTATAATACTGAACATAAAGAACAGACAAAAAACCACTGAGTGAAATCAGCCATTGCTGTGTAAAATATGTAGGAGTCTCAGCAGTAATTATAGTGAGATTAGTTGCAATACTGATGATGTTTTTGTTTTGTGTGACTTGAATGTTATTAGGACCCTGTAAGCAACAAGATCCAAACAATTTGGTGGCATAAACAGTTTAGACAAATAGTTTAAAACAGCCCATTTTGGCCCATTAGTAAGTCTAGATATTTTTATGTTGCATTTTCCTCAATGCTACTTGAGGGCTATCTGCACTTTCTGAAGGTAATCACTGCAAATTGATTTTTTAAATAAAAACTAAGAGAAGAGCTGGTAAGTATTTGAGCCAAATATCTTTCATCAAAAATATTAATAATTTAGCCAACAGTTTTTTAAACATGGCAAAATGTATTAGTCTGTTAACTGTGTTAAAAGTATTTTTTTTTATCAATCAATGAACACATAAAAAAGCCTACCCCTTTCCTCCACACCCCAGCCTTCTGTCAACGTCTCTTTGTAACAAACTTTCCAAGAGTGTCTTTAGTTCAGTAGTAAAAGAATCTGGAAGTTCTACATTCTAAAAGGGAAAAACAACATTTAGCAATATTCTCTTACATCAGTGAACCAGAAAACAAGCAATTTTTAGGTCTAAAAAACTTACTAAAAATTAATTAATTTTAATATCAATATAATTGAAATCAAAGAATAGTAAATTTACATTAAAAGAACTCATTAGTACACTAGGTAAAATGTAAACAGTAAAATATTTAGATAATTAAAAAAAAAGAAGAGGTTAAATATGTAAATTGTCTGATGAAGCAAAAGCTGAAACTGAATTGTCTCAGCTTACTTACTGCTATCAGATTAAATTAGGATTAATCATCTGATACTCAAACTTTTTTTTGAAAAACATCTAAAAATTTTGGAACAGTACTGTACAAGAAAAGCCACGTACAGTTAAATTATACTTGTTAATCTAAAGTTTGCGGGTATGAAATGATCCAACAGAAAAGAATTAAAAATACAATATTGTTTTCCTTATAGTTGAAGAAAAGAACAGAAAATTGTTGCTTTCTTTAAACATACAGTGTAGGCTGAGCCCTTACGTTTTATTATCTCTACTAGGTTTTCAGAATTAATCTACTGAAGGACAATGTTTCACAGTCTTTTGATTAAAAGATATCAAATCCAAGTAGATAAGTTTAGGTTATAGATAAAAACAACAACCTTCCACTGGTTCATGTCCCTCAAGAATTAAAACATTTCATTCAGTCACGGTGATTATTTTAAAATTTGATGTGTTGTGCCTATCACCTTGGATACATTAACTGCCCTTATAAATGTCACTATTATGCACATTTTCTTGTTCAGAAAACTGATTCTCCAAAGGCCTTTGTTTACAAATCTACTTTTCTACTTCATCTGCAACAAGGTTGTAAATTTGAATGTACTTAGTAAAAAGGCAAAACTTTGGATAATTAACTTAAATACATTAAGCAAAGGCAAAACAAATGACCATACCATTGTGAGTGTCATCCTGTCAATTTCATGCTTATCCTTTGTTTTATGTTGACGAAATGGGCTGTGTCTAAAAGAAAAATTACTGTAACGTTAGCAACTTTATATTACAAAGTGGGTTGTATCTAAAGAAAAATTA